TTAGGGGCACCATCCGTCCATCCATCCCCCTTAGGGGCACCATCCGTCCATCCATCCCCCTTAGGGGCACCATCCGTCCATCCATCCCCCTTAGGGGCACCATCCGTCCATCCATCCCCCTTAGGGGCACCATCCGTCCATCCATCCCCCTTAGGGGCACCATCCGTCCATCCATCCCCCTTAGGGGCACCATCCGTCCATCCATCCCCCTTAGGGGCACCATCCGTCCATCCATCCCCCTTAGGGGCACCATCCGTCCATCCATCACCCTTAGGGCACCATTCATCCGCCCATCCTTAAAGTCCTGGGCAGGGCACTGGCAGGGTACAGAGGCTCATAGGAGAAGGATCACCCTCAGCCCTCGCCCAGCCAGTGTTGCTCAGGGGTTGAGCATCGACCTATGAACCAGGAGGTCACGGTTCGATTCCCCGTCAGGGCACAGGCCCGGGTTGCGGCTCCATCCCCAGTAGGGGGCGTGCAGGAGGCAGCCGATCCATGATCCTCCTGTTCCCAGCGTCCCTGGTAGATAGGAACACTCTTTCCAAGTGCAGGCCAACCACTCCAGAGCTCACACCCCCAGCCACTACCTCTAGGGGGGCGCTCACACCCCGGGCCATTCTCCACCTGCCCTCATCCCAGGAGACCAGGTGTCAGAAGATTGCGGACAGCTCCTGTCAGGCCCAGAGCTGGCTGAAATTATTCAAACTCAGCAATCCTCAGAGCACCTACGTCGGCTACTTAAGTGTCACGATTCTAGGCTTCAAGGACCCAGCGAAGAGCAAATCAGACACGGTTGCTGCCTTTCCAAAGTCTAGTTAGGGCCACAAACCTGAAACGAATCATCACACAAATAAACATCTTTACTAATAAAAAGCATAATATGAGAATTAGACTTGACATCTTCCGGACAAAGCCATGGTGGCGGGGGCCAAGGCAGAGGCGGTTAGGGGTGATCAGGCTGGTAGGGGAGAGCAATTAGGAGCGATCAGGAAGGCAGACAGAGGGGTTAGGGGCAATCAGGCAGGCAGGTGAGCGGTTAGGAGCCAGCAGTCCCAGATTGGAGAGGGTGCAGGCTGGGCTGAGGAACCCCCCCCCCCCGCATGAATTTCGTGCACTGGGCCTCTAGTGTAATTAAAAAGCTTGACAAAGTATATGAGGGGGGAAATGACACAGTACTGTGTGAGCATAAGGGGGCAGGATGAACTTCTAAACGAAGACCCACAGCAAGAGCCAGGTGGAGAGCAGAGGAGAAGAGCTTTTAAGGAGCGAGAATAGCAGGGCGTGCAAAGGCCCTGGGGCAGGAGGGAGGATTGCAGCCTGGAGACAAGAAGCAGGGACGGGACAGTACCTCCACTTCCACGGACATCTTAAGGGTTTTGGAATTCTTCCGAGAAGTAACGACCTATCTTTGAAGGGTTGTAAGCAAAGGGTCATCGAATGGAGTTTACTTTTCAGAAAGATGGGGAGCAAGAGGGAGACGAGAGTGACGATGCGACGTGCCGGGCGGGGACTAGGATGGAGCAGCTACACAGCGGCAGAGCCAGGGTTTGAACCCTTGCAGCCGGCTCCTGGCTCTCGGCCATTAGGCTTCGCTGTGTGGGCTCAGGCGGGGCTGCTGGCCGGGGAGTCCCCGGCGGAGAGCCTGGAAAAGCCTGCTGCAGGGGTGCCGTCTGGGTGGCCACTGTGTCCTCACTGGAGCGCCACCCAGGCCGCTCCGTCCTCACCTAAGGGGACCTAACCTAAACCCCTGGTTCCTTCATTTTCAAAGCAAGATTTCACGATCCATGAAAAGACAGAACTGCAGCCGCAAACGGGGGGACCGGTGGGGTGGCCTCTGATCTGCCCCTGACCGCCTGCGCCCCCCAGGAATGTTCTGAAGGTGTTTGACCTCTCACCTCCCACAACCTGCCAGGGGCCAGATGGGACCCGTTGCCAAAGCCTTTCAAAGCCCCTGGGCCCCCGCTAAGTCTCTCTGTCTTGGAGCCTGGCCAGGGGCCAGGCAGAGAGGCTCGGACAGGAGGGGAAGAGAGGGCAGGAAGCGGAATGGTTAGCATCACGCGCTTGGCGATGAGCGATGAGCAGGCTCGTCCTCTTCAGCTCACCTTGCAGCTCATTTGAAGGCTGTTTGTTGATGCTGCGTTTTCTTACTCATCTAATCACAGGCAGGGGAGGTTCTACAAGTTACGCAGCAATTCAACAGCTTGGAGGTCAGGAAATGGGGTGACAGGAGTGGGTGGGCCAGGGGAATGAGGGAACCCAGCTGGACGTCCCGGGCCTTTGCACCTGGCGCGGGCTTCTGTCCTGCCCCCTTTGACGCACCCACCCGCAAAGCCTGCCTCCATAAAATCTCCAAGACAGCCGGGCATGTTCCCATGTTATCTCCCCTAGCAGCTGGGACCCGCCCCACCTGTGAGCATGCCACACCGCTAATGACTAAGGGCTTCAATCTCCTGCCATCCTCGGCCCAGCCTCTGTCATGGTGATGGTGGAGGTGTGCAGCCAGTTGGTGGGTGATGCTTGAACCCCGATGAGGCCTGGAAGGCCCTCTAGGTGTTGGGGTGCGGGGATGGGGCAGCGAAGAAGCAAAGACCTGGTGTTGGCTGCCCCTTCCTTGGATCCGGGCAGGGAGGCGGCATTGCACAGACCTGAGGCGTCTGACTTGGGAGGAGTGCATGGCGCACGGTACCACCCAGCAGGGCCTCCAGAATCAAGTCCCAGGTCCTCACAATATTAGAAGGAAAAAAAAGCTTCAATAAGATTTTTTTTTAAGTACAAAAAGAAATAGAATCTATACCAGTGATGGTGAACCTTTTGAGCTCGGCGTGTCAGCATTTTGAAAAAACCTAACTTAACTCTGGTGCCGTGTCACATATAGAAATTTTTGGATATTTGCAACCATAGCAAAACAAAGACTTATATTTTTGATACTTATTTTATATATTTAAATGCCATTTAACAAAGAAAAATCAACCAAAAAATGAGTTCACATGTCACCTCTGACATGCGTGTCATAGGTTTGCCATCACTGATCTATACTAATAAAAGGGTAATATTCTAATTAGAGCAAATAAACCAGACATCCTGCCGGACAAAGCCATGGTGGCAGGGGCCGAAGGAGAGGCAGTTAGGAGTGATCAGGCCGGCAGGGGAGAGCAGTTAGGAGTGATCAGGCCAGCAGGGGAGAGCAGTCAGAGGCAATCAGGCCGGCAGGCAGAGTCGGTTAGGGGCGATCAGGCAGGCAGGCAGGTGAGCAGTTAGGAGCCTGCGGTCCCGGATTGTGGGAGGGATGTCCGACTGCCTGCGGGATCAGGTCTAAACCGGCAGTCAGACATCCCCCGAGGGGTCCCAGATTGGGGAGGGTGCAGGCTGGGCTGAGTGACACCCCCCACCTTGCACAAATTTTGTGCACCAGGCTTCTAGGTCTAAAAAAAATTTCAACACTTAGTCTTATGTTACAAGAGATTTAAAAGTGAAGCATTTCCATGCTTTGCCTGCTGAGCTCTCAATCGGAGGGTGTCAGACCAAACCAGAGGGCAGAAGCCAGGCCTGGCCCAGGGGGCCGTGATGCAAGCCGGCTACCCGGGCAGCCTGCACCTGGAGGGGGGAGGGGGACTCCAGCAGGAAGCAGGGTGCCGACGGAGCATAACCGGCTGCGAGGAGAAACGTGATCCTGGACACTGAGTCTGCCTCTGGGCCCCCCCGAGTGCAGACAAGCAGGGGATGCTATAGGCCCATTTCACAGACCAGTAGGCTGAGGCCCACGGAGGCAGATAGACAGCAACAAGCTCAGTCAGAAACCTCCCTCCGTGTGCCTCCTTTTAGTTCCAAGGACTTGAGGTCAGGTCGGGTGCCACACAACCTCGCGTGGGCTAGGCGGTCACCTGGGCATGACATCACACGGATAAGACTTTGTACAGCGGGGCCCACATCACAGACTTGACTTTTTGGCATGACAGGTTACAATGGCTACTGTGTCAGGCGGGTTGAAATGTTATCTCCACCACGACGAGACGTCAAAAAACGCTGTGATGATCTCACTCATTTATGGATAATTAAGACCATTATAAACTGATGAACAAATATAGATATAGAGGCAGAGCTGGGGCCCATATCACAGACATGACTTTAGAGCTGGACGGGGTTGAAACGTCATTTCCACCACGACGAGACCTCAAAAAACGCTGTGATGATCTCACTCATTTATGGATAATTAAGACCATTATAAACTGATGAACAAATATAGATACAGAGGCAGAGCAGCAACTGAACAGACTGTCAAACTACAGCGGGAAGGCTGGGGAGGGTTGGGGGCTAAGAGATTAACTGAAGGACTTGTATGCATGCAGATAAGCATAATCAATGGACACAAGACACTGGGGGGTAGGAAAGGGCAGGGGAAGGACAAGGGGAGAAAAAAAAAAGGAGACATATGTAATACTCTTTGTAATATTTTAAGCATTAAAATTTTAAAAACAAAAACAAAAAAACGCTGTGATGGCCACTGGGGTTGAAAGTCACTTCCGGCCCAGCCATTTCTCAGGGGAGTTCGAGCCCCGTACACCAAGGTGGTGGGTCTGATCCCCAGTCAGGGCACCTGCAGGAATCAAGGAATAAATGCATCAATGTGTGCAACAACAAATCGATGTTTCTCTCTTTAAAAACATAATAAATACGTAAAACAGCGTCATTTCAGATGCAACAACCTGGCGGCCAATTCTAGGTCAACTGGGGTTAAACGTCATTTACATCGTCGGGAAGGTCAACAGGACGATGCGGTCGCACTCAATTAAACGTCATTCCCGGCGCAGTGAAAAGTAGCGCTTGGGCAGACGTCATATCCGTCGCAGAGAAGGTCAAAATGGCCAAGTGAACGGTTTAAACAATGTCACTTCCGTCGCGGAGGAGGTCCGATGGGTGTGAGTCGCGTTCCAAAAAGCGTCATTCTGGCGCGACGAAAGGTCGAAGACTCGGGTCGCGCTCCAAAATCGTCATTTCCGGTGCAAGGAAGGTCCTATTGGCTGCGCTGTCGATAGGTTGCGACGTCAAAATGGCTGCGAATCAGCCTGGGATTCACATCCCTTCCGCAGCCAACATAGGTCCAGCTGAAACGTCACGCTGCCTGCCACCCCCCGAAGTGGATTTACACGTCTCTTCTGCCGCGTCTGAACGTCACGCTTGCTGCGGCATGACGTCATCTTCCACGTCATTTCGGCAGCGACCGGGCATCCCTCCGAGGTTTGGTCACGCCGGCCTCAGCGTCGCCCGGGCTTAAAAGTCGCCTTGGCCGCGAGCTCTCGGGGCTTGGCGGTCGTTTCCGCCGCGACGTGATGTCGGGGCAGGGCCACATCCGCGGGCATTCCTGTCCCTGCAGCGGGGACCAGACCTCACCGGGGCCGGTGGGATAGGACAGGAGCCCCTCGCTGGATGGGACGGCGGTGGTGTAGGCGGTCCATCCCTGAGCCGACTTCCTCCTGCAGGTATGGAATCCCTTTATTTTTAAAGTTTGTTTTTTTTTAATATTGTTGTATCGCAAATCAGCGAGCTGGACAAGACGCCTTCCTGAGCCGATTAGTCTGTGCGCAGGTTCAGAGCAGATGACCTCCGTCAAATTCTGATCGCCCAGAGGAGGGAGCATTCTCTCTTTATATTCTTTTCAAGTCCTTGTGTCAGTTATTTTTTTAAAATTTATTTTATTGACTTTTTACAGAGAGGAAGGGAGAGGTATAGACAGTTAGAAACATCGATGAGAGAGAAACATCGATCAGCTGCCTCCTGCACGCCCCCCACTGGGGATGTGCCCGCAACCAAGGTACATGCCCTTGACCAGAATCCAACCTGGGACCCTTCAGTCCGCAGGCCGGCGCTCTATCCACTGAGCACACCGGTTAGGTTTACTTGACTTTTTAAAGTCGGCAGATGACTTGATAAGGAAGTCCATAAAAAAGCATATACGGCCTGGCCGGCGTGGCTCGGTGGTTGAGCGTCCACCCATGAACCAGGAGGTCATGGTTTGATTCCTGATCAGGGCACATGCCCGGGTTGCGGGCTCTATCCCCAGTGTGGGGCGTGCAGGAGGCAGCCGATCCCTGATTCTCTCTCATCATTGATGTCTGTCTCTCTCTCTCCCTCTCTCTCCCTTCCTCTCTGACATCAATAAAAAAATATTTTTTAAAAAGCACATACGACTGACCAGTTAACATTATCAACAGGAAAAAAACTCTGTATTTTCTTTCCAAAACCCCAGTTCTTCCCCACTGGACCTTAATCAGGGCTGAGCATGGCTCCCCTGGTTACAGAAACATTGAGAACTTGGAGGAGCGTCCTGACCGGCCTCCATCACTGTCGTCCTCTCTCGCTCGGCATCACCTGTTCCTGGAATGCCCCTCCTCGGGTGCGGGTGTGACTGGGGCAAAGCCTTCGCCTCCTCTCTGTTGTCCCCTGGATAAGGTCTCCTCCCGTTAGCATGGCTTTAGACCTTTTATGATCTGGCCTCTGACCACCCCCAGCCTCTCTTCCTCTGGTGGTTGGGTTCTGGTTTATGTGGAAATGGCAGTCTGTCTGCGCCCTCCCTTCCCCCCCATTCCTCTATCAGCGATTCCTCCTCAGCTTGACAAACTCCTACATGTACTACAACGCCCTTGTGCCATCAGGGAACGCATCCTGTGTTCCCCTCCGTCCGAGCTCTTGCTACGTGGGTTTGCAAGAGGCGTGGGCGTGGCTGCCTCCTTCATTAGACGGTGGGCAAGAAGGAGGCTACATCTTCCCTCCTGAACCCCCAGTGCCCAGGAAAGGGCTGTCCCACACGAGGGATTCCTTCAAACTGGAAGAATTTTACTGCAGATGCAACAGCTGGGGCAGGTCAGGCTTGCCGGTGTGCCCCGGGGAGGAGCCGCTGTGGCCGCTTCCCGGGCCCGGGGTTTCTCGGGCTGGGCCAGACCTTTGCTGGTGGTGCCTGGAGCGCTTTGCACCCCGACCTGAAGCCCTGGGTGAAAGGGGCTCCTGGATTGCAAGGGCGGCTGGGCCTGTGCTGCGGTTCCACTTGTGAACACGAGGTGGCGCTCTGTGGCGGCCTATTGAGCGGGAGCTGGGTGCTCAGCTGGCCCGGCCCGGCCCAGCAGCACCGGCCTCTGGAACCCAGAGTAAATGAACTGGTACCTGAGTTTGTGATGGTGAACGGGGCTGAGAGATGCCTGCGTCTGTTCATTCCTGTCCATACGCGAATCTAGGACGAACCTACAAATGGCACTTGATGGATGTATCTTGGGGTCCCCCAGCCCTGGGTTCTGTTCCTGGCTCTGCTGGTTCTAGGAATGGACCCGTCTCGTTCTGGACATCAGGTCCCTGCTCTGCGGAGCAGCGTTAAGACTCTGGGGGCTTTGCCCTGGCTGGTGTGGCTCAGTGGGTAGAGCGTCGGCCTGCGGACTGAAGGGTCCCAGGTTCGATTCCGGTCAAGGGCACATGCCCGGGTTGTGGGCTCGATCCCCAGTGTGGGGCGTGCAGGAGACAGCCAGTCCATGGTTCTCTCTCATCATGGATGTTTCTCTCTCCCTCTCCCTTCCTCTCTGACATCAATAAAAATATATTAATTTTTTTAAGAAAGACTTTGGTGGCTTTAAATGAGGGGAGTTGCCGGCATCATTCCTGCCACCTCCAAGATGCCTCGTAGTATTCACTTTCCCTTTTGAAATCCTTGTGTTGGGGGTCTCTGCCTCCTCGCCCGCCCCTGCTCCTCCTGCCATTTGACAATAGCTTCTCCGTCTGTCTGTCCTGTCTCCTTGCTTTTGACTCAGTTGCTCTTGACTCCGGGCTGGGGAGTCCTGAGGACAGGGCGGGTCTGGTTTTCTCTGTCCTCCGAGCCCAGCCCCGAGCCTTCTGGGTAAACACTCAACAGAAGGATGACGCCTGAGGCCGCCTCCTCCCCCACCTCCACCCGGGACTCGGACCCAAGTCCTTCACGTCTGAGTTCTCAGCTGCCCCCGCCTCAGACACACGGTTGGAAAAATGTGGTAAAACCTGAACATCCTGGTGCCCTCGGGGTCCCCGGAGGCCTGCCCGCCTGCTCATAACCAATACAATTAACAAACCATTAGCTTGTACACCTGAGACTAATAAGATGCTCTAAATGACCTCAAAAAAGATAGTCCTGTTAACATAAAAGAAACCACACAGGCATTCAAACCTGTAAAGCATTTTGGGAGTTCATTTGAGCCAAACTGCCCACAATCGCCAGGAAGCAGAATTTCAAACTATTGGGAGAATGCTCTGGAGAAGGGCTGTTTTTTGCCTATTTTTACACATTGCAATCGAAGGAGGAGCGGAGGTGGGTGACACGAAACCCACTGGGGATGGGTCAGGGAGGCGGGAGCAAGCGAAGCGGGGAACCCCTGGGATTGGCTAACAAGTAAGATGATGGACACCTGCCCCCTTCCTTAGGGTGCAGGAGTTAACAGCCAGCAGTGAGCTCAGGACAGGGAGGGGTCTGTGGTCCCCACAGAGCGGTGCCTGGGCCGTGAGGCCGGGAAAAGGGAAATGACCGTGACCTTCCAGCGACATGTGGTCACAGACGCAGAGAGACCACAGACAGGCTCAGCGAAGGTCGAGGCCGACGGGTCAGGGAAGATGCCCGCCGAGGCCGGGACTCCCCACCGCAGCTGCTTCTAGTTCAAGGTCAATGTCAGAGCGTCCTGGGCGGCCGCCTGAGGCCTCTGAGTTCGCAAGGCCGCCACGCAGGCCTCCCCTGAGCCGGTCAGCTCAGCGCGTGGCCCCTTTTTATCCAGTGGAGTGACCCCAAGTCCCCTGTGGCTGAGGGGCGACCTGAGCAGGAGACCTGAGCAGTGAGCGCAAAGGGAGATGGGAGGTGAGGGCTAGTGCCGGGCCCTGAGGCCCTCACTCATCCTCCACGCGCCCAGAGCCCCGCAGACACAGCCCCCAGTGACACAGGGGGGACCCCCGACCTTCAACCTTCAATCCTCCAGGTTCCTACAGAGACTCAGCTCCGGTGGGAGGGCTTGACCAAGGATGTGCGTGTCCCCCTGCCTGTGACTTTTCCCTTTACACACGTGACAGTTCAAATCCCTGGAGAGATGGGAAGTGGGGGTAGGAGATTCTGGGAAACGCCCCCCGTTTTCTAAGCTGGGGTGGGGCTCGGGTCAAGAAGCTTTCGCTTCTCTAACCGAGTTCCTAGAACACAGAAGGTACCCCTCGGGGGTGGCGGCGTCGCCAAGTGCCAGACGGGTCACAGAGACACTGATTCAACGGCGCTTCTGTTTCTTTTCTTTTAAATATAGAAATTGCTTTCAGAGAGGAAGGGAGAGGGAGAGAGAGAAACATCAGTGATGAGAGAGAATCATGGACCGGCCGCCTCCTGCACGCCCCACACTGGGGATGGAGCTCCCAACCCAGGCCTGTGCCCTGACCGCGAATTGAACCCTGACCTCCTGGTTCATTGTTCAACGCTCAACCCCTGAGCCACACCGGCCGGGCATTCATTGTTAATCTTGAAGACACACATTACAACCACGATGAGCTGTCACCACACGGCCACCTCAGCACGGCTAAGTTAAACGGACCGACAACGCCAAGTGTGGGCAGGATGTGCAGCGCTCGGGCCTCCTGGGCTTAGGTCGGAGCACAGAATGGCGAGATCGCTTTGGCCTGCGGCCTGGCAGCTTCTGACGAAGTTAAGCTTATCTTTCCCAAAACAGACACAACAAAACAAAACAAAAACAGGTCATTTATCACTGAACCGGAAATTCCACTCCTAGGCATTTACGCAAGATAACGTGGGAACGTGCAGAGACTGGGAGAGCCAGCTCCTTGTCAACAGACTCGACTTACGTGCGGCCCAGCAGGCCAGCTCCTAGGGCAGCACCTGCGAGGAATGAACCCCTGTGTTCCCTGAAAAACCTCCATGCAAGTGGTCGGAGCAGCTGGAGCCACCGTAGCCCCAGCTGTCGGCAGCATCGATGTCCACTGTCAGGACAGACACTGAACCGGTGTGGCGTCCTTGCCAGAGACCGTTGCTCTGTTATTGGAAGGAACAGACCAGCCCCGGCCGGTGTGGCTCAGTGGGTAGAGGTCCAGCCAGCTTGATTCCTGTCAAGGGCACGTCTGGTCGGGGCGCGTGCAGGAGGCAACCCATCGACATGTCTCTCTCACATCGATGTTTCTCTCCGTCTTTCCCTCTCTCT